GTGGACACTGCAGAGTAGATAAGGTGGACACTGCAGAGTAGATAAGGTGGACAGTGCAGAGTAGATAAGGTGGACAGTGCAGAGTAGATAAGGTGGACAGTGCAGAGTAGATAAGGTGGACAGTGCAGAGTAGATAAAGTGGACAGTGGCTCTGTTGGTGAGGGAGAGCTGTGTAGAGGGACGGGAGGTGCTGGCACTTAGTTCGCTTGCCAGAATCTTAGGTTCATGGAGATAAAGTATGAGGGCAAATTCCAGAAACTCCAAACTAGCTTGACTGGTATTCTAATGACTAGTCATTTAAATGTAACTAACCCAATTTCTTTTCACACCTTAATGAAAATTACCACACCATGGATCTGGAAGTTGATGCCAGTTTATACAGAAGTGATAGTTAAGTTAGCACAAATACTGATCAATTCAAAGATTTATGTAAGTTTTTAAAATTTACTGAGAAATAATGGAACTGAATAAACCCAGTCTCTAGTTTGATCGACATGGTTTATGCATTCCTACACTTTATTTTTCTAAAGAGAATGAATAACTACATTTCTTAAAGAATAGAACACACATGCAAGATACTGGGGTCAGTGTCCACTTAGACATGCATTCCTCTTAGAAACTAGCAGTATCTTTTATCTCTCATATTCTGTTTGTCCTGCTATTTTGTTTGATTCTGTAAAGGTACAGGATAGCTGTTGTTTCAGCAGTATAATTGGCTTCCTTTGTATTTCAGTGCCCAGTTTTAATGTATTTATTGACTTTATTTAACTTCCCATCATCCGAATTTTTTCTTTTTATACAGAAAAATGTGAGTTCAAGGGTTCCCTATCTGGCAGTAATGCAGGAATTACAAGCATTGAATTTGATAGTGCTGTAAGTATCAAATAGCTATGATTTTAGGTTTTTAGAAATAATTTAAGACATTCGGTTTTTGAAATTATAAAATAACTTACCCGATTTCTCTGCCATTCTCTGTATCTTAAGTCAAATCCATGTTAAAGAAAGATGGAAGTAGATTATAGGGTTAATTGCTGTATCAACTCTGATAAACCCTTGGGTTCTGCTTCATGCATTAGGCTTGTGATGTTACTCAGTACTCTGTATAATTTCACTTAATAGTTGTATTTTGAGTTTATAGATGCTGTACTCCAGGGGCCAGTGTGGTCTCTACCCTCAGAGATTCACCATCTAAATGAGAGTGATGGGAAAGCATTAAACTGCAAAGCGTTGTGTTGAGGTTATGGTTGAGATGTGTGTGGAGTAGAAAGGAAATACTGATGAGAGAGTAGCTCATTCTGGGGCAAGGGTTAGGGGCCACAGTAAGGCATTTAAAGCGGGTCTAAAAATAATCAAAGGTCGGAGGCAAAAAGCCAGGAACGGACACCACAGGCAGAGGGAGCAGAGGAGGTTGGGCTGGGCAGGTGCAGGAGCTTGGGTGGAGGTGATGACTGGGTGAGGCCAAGGCAGCGTCCTCATCTACCAAGAGTCCTTATCTTGGTTGTCATCTCTGGGGAGCCTTTTTCACATTCCTGGGTGGGTTGAGTGTCTTTCTGTATTCCCAGCATCTTGTGCAAACCTATTCTATGGCACAGTGGTTGTGTATATCTGCTTCTTTTACTAAGCTGAGAGCTGACTACCTGAGGACAGGTGTCTGGGTGTTAATCATCTTTGTACCCCCAGCACCTGGCACAGTGCCTATTAGGTTCTAAATAACTGCTCCTTGAATTTAATTGGGGAATGGTAAGGGAATAAGGTTGGAAAATGAGGGTATGTTGTATTGAAAGGTTTAGACTTCTGTAAAGCCATGTGGAGACTTGAGAAATTTTTAGAAATGGGTGTGGTGTTAAATTGTGGTATAACTGTGACAGTGTTGAAGACTGCATTGGAGGAAGCAGGTCTGCAGCAGCCTGTGCGTTCAGTGCTTCTGCAGAGATGCAGAAGGCCCAGGTGGGGCTGAGGCAATAGGGGAGAGAGGAGAGGACCAGGCTTGACACATTGAAGATGAACAGTTCTCAGAGTGAGTGGGAGATTAGGCCAGGAGAGAGTCAAGGGTGCCTCTGAGGTTGCTGACTTGTTGATAATTGCTGCTAGTGAAGGTTGCCACGGGAAAAGTGAGCAGGGAAGGCTGAGTTCCATTTTGAGCTTGAGGTGTCTGCAATATTCAGGTGAAATTGAGCAGGCTCAAAAAAAAGGTCTGAGCTCGAAGGAGATTGGTAAGTTGAAGCACACTCATGACAGTAGCTGGTATTCAGGCTGGGTGTATAGTTTGAGGCATCTAAACCTTCTTGGACTTGATTATTGGGGAATTTATATCACGTGAACTTAACTCCTCTGATTTGGCTAAAAATTGGTTTTCTTCTTCTTTATTCCCATAGGGTTCTTACCTCTTAGCAGCTTCAAATGATTTTGCAAGCCGAATCTGGACTGTGGATGATTATCGGTTACGGGTAAGACCCAGTTAAGAAAGTTAGTGCAATCTCCAGACTTCATGTGGCGTTATCAAGGCACAAACTGGCAGGTGCTTAATCAGGGGACTTTGTTTTCCCGAAAATCATGCTTGATTCACCCTGCCCTTCCTTTCCTCCTTGGGGAAATCTGTGTTTCCACTTTATACTCTTTGTCCAAGACTCAGTTTCAAAATATTTGCAATAGGACCCTCACATTTGCATGAAAACCTTGGAATTCTCTTCATAAGGACTAGATACTTTTGGTAGGTAGCAATTTTAGCTTAATGGAACAGAATTTAGCAACAGCATAGGAATTGTGATTCCTGTGGGCTCTAAAACCTAATTACCTCACAGAGTAAAGTGGGATATAGAAGTACAAATGAATGTATCATAGGGATAAGACAATTCTGAAACAAAAACTCCCAGCTGAGAAAGAGGGGACAGGTGTCAGAACGGGAAGAACTGATTGGATGTTGAGGAAAACTGCATTTGAACCGCAACTTGCCGAGAATTCTCTTGGCACCCAAGATAGAGACCAAAACTTGATTGTATCATTTTTGTTCTAGGGGGAGCAGGGGGCGTAGGGGGAAGCATGTAACTTAATTTGCAGACTTTTTTTCCCCATAAGCCTGAAGGAATCATCACATAAGCTTATTAAACACAAGCTATTGAAAGATATAATGGAGGATGAATTTGGCATTAGTAGGCATTTTACTAAAAAAAAAAAAAAAAGTTAAACACAAGCCATTTGTGTGTGTCAACCCACACCAAAAACAGGAAGTAATGTTAAGATGAATTTTTTTTTCTTTTCTTTTTCTTTTTTTTCTTTTTTTTTTTTTTCTGAGATGGAGTTTTGCTCTTATGTAGAGTATAGTGGTATGATCTCGGCTCACTTCAACCTCCGCCTCCTGGGTTCAAGCAATTCTGCCTCAGCCTCTTCAGTAGCTAGGATTACAGACGTGGCTAATTTTTATATTTTTAGTAGAGATGGGGTTTCACCATGTTGGCCAGGCTGGTCTCGAACTTCTGACCTCAGGGGATCTGCCCACCTCAGCCTCCCAAAGTGCTGGGATTACAGGCGTGAGCCACTGCCCAGCCAGATAAATTTCTTTTTTTTTTTTTTGTTTG